TGTATTCTCGTACATCTAGCCTGAAGAAAAATCGAGCATGAGAAGATACTCTCCGGCCAGCTTTTCATTTTGATTTCCTGCAGTCGACCAAGTTTTGCATCTCCGTCTAGCCCAAGACAATATATGTCAGACATTGAACTTCGGGAATCTGTATCTGAATCAGTAAGTTGATTCTCATCGTTAGCTTGGGAGACCAGATCGATTGTTGTGGTGACCATTGAGCACATTTCTACCAACGTATGTATGGTCTAGTATTTGCAGGCCAAGGGATTATTGCAGTAATTACTGGAGTACCTTAAACCGGAGTAAATATTCTATTTTAATAATTTCATTTTTTATTTTTCATATCTCGTTGATTAATAATGCTACGTAACAGTTGTATCTAATTATGCTTTTAATGACTCATCTCTTCGTAGTGTTTCTAACTCTTACAATGTCCCATCTTTTACTGTGTTATAGCCTTGATCCCTTGGAGTAATAAACCAAAAACCAGACCCCGTGCAATATCTTCCCTCTGCAATGCATCAAACACTTTTCCTAATGCTTCTCCGGTAGCTGCTTGTCCCATCACCCCCATTAGGGCAACGGGCATGCCTCTCTCTAGTAGAAGCTTTCTTGCTTTGGTCTTCAACTTCTCTTTCTGCTCTGCAGTCATCTCTTCTGGCCAGGCTTTCAACTCGGCCTCTGTAGGCAAGCCATTCTCTCTTAATTTGTGAATGGCAGAAGCGATTCCTGCATCGGAAGTATAGGCCGAGATAACGGATTCTTGTAAAAGACCTTGAATGGAGGATAAAGAAGGGTTTCCTGGACGAAGAAGAAATGTTTTTGCGGCAGTGAGGAGTGTGCGTCGGAAGGTCCAAGCAGAAGACAGAGTATATAGTTCTGTTATAATGGCGAAGAGGAGCTCGATTGCTACTTTGGTTTCTTCTTCATTCAGTGGGGCAGTTTTCTTCTCTTTTGATAGTATAGGTGTTTGGGTTTTGTCACTGCCCAGCATGTCCTGATTTAGTGACTTCTCGGTTAGGGCAGGCTTTTTCTCATTTGCTGGTGTAGGTGCAACGCTATTGTCATTTTTCAGCACATCTTGGTGCAATGACTTCTCGACTGAGGTAGATTTCTTCTCGTTTGGTGCTGTGACTGCACCGTTACTTTCATTCTCCAGCCCAGATCGATTCGATGACGTGTCGATTGGGGTAGTATAATCATCGGGCATCTCAGTAGGTGGTGGCGGCAAATGTAACTTGGATGTTGATGGAGCTTGACTAGGCTCACGACTGTTTGACGGGCTGTAGGCGGTGCTCATATGGCTGCTTACAGATGATCCTCTGGTTCTAATACCAGACTCCTCTTCAGCGCCTGGAATAGAACCACGACTTAACTTTCGTCCGAGAGACGCAGTCTTTCCAGGATGTGAGACAACTGAAGCTGCTTTCATGCTCTCTTCGCTCAATCTACCCCTTTTTTGTTCAAATGAGGAACCATTTGATGAGGCCACGCTATCCACTCTTGACAGAGCCGGTGTTGACATACGATTTTGGGATTGCAAGCTATTCTGAGATACCATACTATCCACTCTTGACAGTGCCGGTGTCGAGATACGGTTTTGAGAGTGCAAGCTACTCTGACTGGCTTTCTTTTGTGCGAGTGATCCAATGTTGCTGAAAACTCCCGTGACCCCAGCAGCTGCCCCCTTTGGAGCGCTTTTAAGTGTATCAAAAACGCCTTTGCCCATGTTCTCTAGAGAAGATGTAGGCCAGTTAAAGCCAGCTTTTGTAGAAGTTGCCGGCATCGTCCCTTGAACCTTTTCCAAGAACCGTTTCATGCCCTCGGTTTCAGCAAGTGGCTGGTGAGTGAGAGCATCTTTCAGATATTGTTCCAATTCACCGCGTAGCAATGGTTTAGTGAGGGTCTTCCAGTTTGGTAGCTCTTGGTGTTTCTCAATGAAAGTATTCGCTCCCGAAACTTTAGCGATTCGTCCAAGCACCTCATGTAAGGTCTCGAAATCCGAATATCTTCGGACAATCATCCATCCGGGATGGATCGATGACTGTGGTTCAATTTGGACCATATAGTCCATTGTAGGTTTGTTCTTGATCCTTGCTTTATCGGAAGCGACAGAGTCATCATAAATAATGATATTTGCATTATGTAAGGTTAGAGGCACTGGCTTGCTTCTCCGAGGTGAGGTTTCATTTGAGTATAATGCGGCAGGCGGTGGGGGCACGATCTGGTCGAAGCTGGTAAACGAAGAAGTGGTGTGAGGGGTTGTAGGCGATATAGCTTGCTTCGAGTCAGGAGACATAGGGGATCTGCTGTTCGTATCGGATCCAGATAGAGAAGGTCTTGAGTCTGTGGTAGGGGTATGAGGCGGAATGCCATTTGTGGAAGATACAGGAACCGAATCCGGTTGTAAATTCTCTTTGATATTTTGATCGTCAAGAAATTTATTTTCTTCATCTTTGAAATCGCCAATTTGCGCAAGTTTCTTTGCGTCCTCTGCAGCAATCAACATGCTGAGTCTCTTCGCTTCTGCCATAGCTTCATTGTTGGCATCCTCGTCCGATGTTTGTCTTTGATGCCCTTGTTTCTTAGGGGATCTAACAATACTAATATTTCCGACGTTGCCATCAATGTCGGAGAATGGATCGTGTATATTTCTACGGTCCATGGCTTCATCAATTGCCTGTCCCAATCCCGGCTCTCCGTCCTCTAGAAGGTATACAATCCATCCATTGATAAACTCCGGCTTGGAACAACTTTTCAGAGTCATCTCTAAGACAACCCCAGCTAGTATCTCCCTTAAAAAGATTCTGGCTGGTCCGGATTCGTAGACCGACTTCTCAAGGAAGCTTCGTAGAAGATCGTCTGCTGCCATTGTAAACTTTATTTTCTGCTGTGTCTCATTCATAATGTTGGCTAGACTGCTCTCTGGGTTTGCACTCAAATAAGCGGTAACCATCTCTCCGACAGGCCGGCTTGTTCCCGGGGTCGCCGAAGTTGCATTCGCCAATTCATTGAGAAAGACAATGGTAATGGAAGAGGAATTGGTAAGGAAATCGAGGAAAGTGTCGGCAGGTCGCTTTCTCGACAAACGTTGAGACATCGATAGAATGAACCTCGTGAGGGTTGATTTCGCAGCAAGGGGGAAAGCTTCATCGTTTGGGAGTATTGGACTGTACCAATACTTGACATAATCCCGAATGACGGCATCAACCAAGTCGTTTAACGCAGTGGCAGTCTTAGGTCGGAAATTCTCGAAGTTGCTTCCTGTGCCAGCCTCAACCAGTTCGCACTGAATGTCTTTTGGCTCGACTGCTTCTTCTCGCACAGCCAAAGCACTTTTCTCTGTAAAAATTGTATGTAAGATGACACCGCCTAGGCCTCCAAGGAGGAGGAGAAATAGTCCATCGATTATCATGTATATGCCGAATGATAATACAAGGGCTGTCAAAATAAGCTGCTCGTTCGAAGCCGTCGAAACAAATCGTAGTAATCGTGTAGTTATGTGGTCGTCGGTCGCGACTTCCGCGACCTTGGACTCGTTTGTTGAGTCCATTGTGAGCATTCAGGTAGTTATGTTAGCTGACAGGATCGTATTGTTTGATGTTGTTATAAAGTTTGAACTTGTTATGGTGATTCAATGCTGCTGCCGCAAAAGAATCAGAAAGTGCGAAGTCCGAAGGAATGCTATTGCAATGTTAATCCAAAGTCATTCTACTCGCAAGGTCGATTGAATGTCAATCGTCATTGCCTAGTTTAGCGTAGCTTCTATTTCGAATAGCTTCATGTACTAGGGGTACTAAAATTAAGGACAAATGTCAAAAGAACAGAAAGGGTGTTCGATACTCACATTGCAAAAGTAATGAACTCCATTTTGAACAATGAAATGTTGGTTTGGACTACCGTGTACCTTCTTTTTGGACCGCGAGCTTTGAGGCTGAGTTGAAACAAAATGGTAACTCAATGTTGTTATCAAGCGATAACACTACCTAGTACCTGCTGTACTGTGTACTCAAAAGGCTGCATGCCATATTACAATGATGTACATTTATGCTACCCGACCTACGAGTAGGTATCTTTCCATATGGCTTTTCCTTCCAATATTCTACGTTTTAGTATACTTGTTAGATCATTCACTTCATTTGAAGACAGATACTCGAAATCATCGCATCTGATGGCATTATCTATCATCACAATCGATAACATACGGTCCAAGCACGGTAGAAGGAAGCCTTGAAACAAGCATAGAAACGTCTAGCCAGGTAAATGTGTAATCTTACAAAGTAATAAACATTGAAGTTCGATGGATCGTCAGGGATGATTTCCCCTTCCCTTTCCCCAGCCCTGTAGCTAGAGAGGTAAGGGAAGGGAAGGGAAGGTAAGGTTACCGGTTCCGTTACTAAAAAAGCTTGAGTGAGGTTCGGTGCTACCCGAAACAAGTATCTACCTATGAATACTCTGTAGAAATTCGATATCAAATCAACAGATCAATATATCCGTACAAAGTTTCAAGTTTTCAAGAGAAAACATGTAATTCTATAATATACACCAACTTCGATAATAAAAGGAATATCAATTGAATTTCTAGAAAGTGACTCAGTTACCCTTTCTCCCATTTTATTAGTGGCCATCGATCGGCCTTTGCTGCTATATCCCCGTCGTGACGTAGAACTATCAATACATCCATCCATCCTTACCCACAAACACACCACCAAAAATCAATTTACGCGCAAACGCGAACTCTCGTCTTATCTCGGCGCGTCAATCAAATGAAATCCATTCGATCAAACAATCTTCCATCCCAAATTTGAAGTTTAAAACAAATCATCTCAACTACTTTATTATCTGATAGTGTTTCCTCTATCCTCTAAATAATCCCATCTTACCTTTTTACTCCAAAAGACCCTCATCGATAAGCTGATTCATCACTCCCATCCAACAAACCAGATCCAAAATCAATCCGCATATTTCAAAGTCGACCGACCTCTTCGTCCCTCAAAATGCCAAAACGAGCCCGCGCCGAACCTGTCGAGACTTATGACTCTGACGGTGGTTTCGTATCCGATGATGAAGGTGCTGTTCGCAAGGTAACCCCTCTCCCAATCCTTATTCCAATTCCAATTCAATCCACTTATCCTCAATCTCTTTTATTCTTATCTTTCTACCATCATTTAAACTCAAATCTAAATACACATTCATAAGCACCTCACAAATTTCCAGCCCGCACTAACATACCCCTCAGCCTAAAAAATCCAGGACCACCAAAGCTACCAAACCCACTACAACAGCCAAACCCACATCCTCCTCCTCCGCCATCTCTCCTTCATGGGATCTCTCCACCGGCCGCACTCCTCGTAAAATTGAGCTTTCAGACTTCAAAGGTCAAACACTCATCAACATCCGAGAGTTCTATGAGAAAGATGGAAATGTGTTACCTGGAAAGAAGGTTTGTTTTATTACCTCCCCCATTCTCTCGCATTCTCTCCCCTGCTCAACGCAGTCCTACGAATACCGTCTTGATAAATTTTATACATGTACAATATTCGGAAATAGACGAGAAATATATAAACACCAGTAGAATGCTGACGAGGAACAAACAGGGCATCTCCTTAACAGTCGACCAATACAAAAACTTCCTCAAATCCATCCCCCAAATCAACGCCAATCTTAAGAAAAAAGGTATTGACGTTAGCCCTGTTGAAGAAGAGGCAGGGGAAGACGAAGAAGAAGAAAAGTCAGCTGATGAAGAGGAAGAAGAGGAAGAAGCCGTAGGAACAGACTCAGAAGCCGACAAAAAATCCAAGGGCAAGAATAAAAAAGTCAAACCAGTGGCGCAAAAGGGCAAGAAAGGCAAGAAAGAGAATATTGAAGCTACGAGTGATGAGGAAGAATGAGGGGTTCGAATCTGAGTTCATAAGATTGCTTGGGAAGGGTTTCTTACTTTCGAGAGACACCCGAGGGAGGAAAAATTGTCCCTTCGAGATATAGGGGCAAGATTCAAGGGATCCCGAAGGAACTTTTCGGACTTGATTGATATTGCAGATCTGCTAATGTTTCTGTTATTCACCTCACTTCATTGCCCTTTTTTACATGATATCAAATCATGTGAAAGGTACATCTTGCTTTTAGCGACCCGAGGATCTTCAATATTGTGGAATTTGGAGCTTATCTTGAAATGCTTGGGATAATTTCCGAGGAGATCATTGGAGAAACACACACGCACATGCATGCACATATGCTGTTAGGCTTTTATGAAACTACAATGATGCAATGATACTGATCGATTTTTGTGTACCGTAATCAATTAATTCATACAATCATGAACCTCCTCTCATGCATCTCCATGCCCCAAACTTGGCTCTACCACCTCTCCCCATCATCTCTTCCCAGAACCTGACAAACTCTCTCACGACTGCCAGCTCCCACTAACAGTAGCAGTCGTAGCACAACCTGTCGGAACAGTATAACTCCTATTTGGATCCGCCTCCCAAGTAACCGTCCCATCACTCGCCACATTGATAAATTTATACGACACCGTCGTGCCAGCTGGTAGATTGACCGTTACGGTCCACAACGGATTACTAGCCGTATACTTCGCAGCGCTCAACGTAATTGCCGAAGCTGGTGTCCAAGTTCCCAACTGGGAGATAGAACCAGAGACTTTAATCGTTTGACCAAAAGAGGTAGTGACCAATTCATTGAAAGTAACTGCTACCGAAGTGGCTGTTGCGCATGAAGAAGTGGTGGTCGAGGTAGAAGTTGTCTTGGTGGTGGCGGATGTACTGGTTGTGGGAGTACCTCCTCCGCCGCCGGGGGTTTGCGATGCGGGCCAGGAAGTGGCGGTTGCGGTGGAATAGGTTCCGATGGCCGAGGTAGCAGAGCAGGTTCCTGGGATGCTGAAGGCGGATGGCTCGCCCCATGAGTATGGGACGACGCCTGCGCGACGGGCGGCGGCGGTGAGGAAGGCGGCGTAGGACCAGGTGAGGTCGTAGGCTGAGAGGGGGGCACCGCCAGCTTTATTGAATTGTTCTGAGAGGGAACCGTTGGTTTGCGCGTAGGTGGCGACGATGTTGACGTAGCCATCGGCGTAGGATTTGATGGCGTTGTAGAGAGTGGTGTAGGTTGAGGTGGAGGATGCGTATGTTCCGGCTGTGATGGAAGAGCTGAAGTCTTTGAAGAATGCTAGGGAAGTAGCAGTTACTGTGATAGAGCCAATTCTATTCCAGGTGTATAAAGCATCATATAGTTGCTCGGCAGCAGCAAGAGTATTGAGATACCAGGGATTACCACCATAGTAAGAGTCTTCTGGGTAACGTCCAACGGAAACGGCAACACCTTCGGCAATTCCAGAGTTGATGCTGTAAATAGATCTGAAAGAATCAGTCACAACTTTGTGATTTGATAAAGCACGATCTGAGCATGGCTGGAATGTAGTGACATCACATGCAGCCGTAGGATCAAAGGTCTGAATAGAACTCAAGATACTATTTGCATCTTTTCCGTTTCTTCCACTGTTTTGGTTGATATTGGAAATGATGTATCCTGAAGATGAACTCCAGAAGCTTTGGAGGAAGCAAAGAACTTGTGGGGCTCTGGAAAATGGATTAGTACTTGAATTCGAACATATTCTTTTCATGCGTGCTTACTGAGAATCGCAATAGGTACAGCTTTGACCGATTTGAGCGGCCAACGCACTACCTTCAACAAGGGCACGATGTTGAGCAGCGATTGTGAAGAAACTTGATCCTTGAACCTCTTCCCAGAGATCAAAGCCAGTTTGGTTCCCTGTGAATTTAATCAGTCAAAAGCTCCAAGAAAAGAGGGTCATTTATTTTTGAGACTAATATAGACCTCTTCCCATGGACTTACAATATTGAGTAACATAGGACAGATCATTCCTGATAATTGGCCAAACGATGTTTTGCACAGCGGAGGTATATCCATTGGCAATCAACCATTTTGAATAAGTAATCATAGCAGTAGCACGTAAAGCGGGTCCATCTCGTTGAGGTCTTCCCCAAGACCCTGTATAGTTCATATGTCAGTCACCATCAGAAGAGAGTTTTCGAGTTTTCTCACCTGTGAATGCCGATTTATCCGCATTGAACTTGGGCTCTCCCAGACCACCGGATGATAAACTACCTGAAGGGTTTGATACAGTTTGAAGTCCAGCTTGAGAGCTGATATAATTTTCAATTTCCTGTTGAAGTGATGCAGAATAATCGCTACTAATAAAGGTATCAACGAGGGTTTTGAATACCAATGCGGAGTCTCGAGTCCAGGTATAAAAATCTGTTTACATATCAGAATCCCATTCATTTAAACAGGATCATGAAATACTAACAATCTGGGTTTACTTTGTCAGGTGAAGCAATCACAATCCCCGAAGCTGCCCCTGAAGCACACGCTCCATCGGAGCCGATATTACATAAAAGATTTCTGAAAGCAATAGGACTTTCAGTGGCAATAAAAGAATCCACTGAGCGTTTTAGGATTTCGGCGCGTTGCTCAACCTTACTAGGACCCGGCAAAGCATAAATAGTTTGGAGGGCAAGACTGCCAACCAAAAGGAGGGGGGCGAATGTATGCATAATAGGTTGAACAGCTTGAAGGATCGCAGTGCTGTTGAAAGTGCTGATGGAATTGAGATAGGGGAGGGAGGAAAGCAAAGAAGAAGCCATTGCTATTAATATCGGTGAGAAGGACTCTCCGCCTAGACCCAAGTCATGGATAAAGGTATGTAGGAGCGAATTGTGCCTTTGGATAGTAGGTGTCTTGACGCACCCGAAGTCTCCAGGGTATCTTTTTTGATAGTTTGAACGGCAGGTAGTTGAATCGGGGTAGTACTGAGGGATAAGATGAGCTAATCAAGGGAGGACAGAATTTTGCCTTTTTGTTTGTGTAGCTGCAAGGTACGGAGGCAGTCACGATGTTGTGTGCGGTACGGAGGTAGAACCGTTTCGAGATACTTTAGGCGCAACCTTATGCCGTTCAATATGTGAATATTCGAATGTGCTAAATGCTTACTATGAGGTTGAATAATTGAAATCCTTGACTTTCTCCCCTTCTTCTTAAATACACAGTAACAAGCTAGGACCTTTTTGTCAGTTCATTGGTACGCATGTAAAAGTGGCCCCTAGAAGATCGTGTCTAGATGTGATTGAATGTAGGTACCTACCAAGTAGCCAATGATTAACCGTACTTAGATAGCCTTCAGACAGATCTTCAGACAGACGGGATGATGACTATTTCGTTTAGTGAAAACAGCTGAAAGGTGCTTGAAGATCTCAATTGATACATGCGTTAGTCTATATTTACTAACTTGGGCATGATAAAGTGTGTATAACTTCACATTATTTCAACCCCGCAGTCAGCAATATTTACCTACCTAGTAGGTAGGTACGTACTCGTAGGTATTCGCTAGTCCGGGGTCCCCACACATGCCTTTCTCTATCTAATCGGGCCGTCCCTTGTCTGCAGCCACAGCCTGAATTCAACCCCGCGCTGCGCCTGAGCATGATGTACGGTAACCTTATATGCCAGTATCCTCAACGCAGGTGTATACATGGTCTGAAGTTACGGTTTGTTCATGGATTTTATTCCTGACCTTGTAGGTGAACTTCAAAGATGCTGAGATCAAGGAAGAGCAGATCTGTCGTACCATTGATACTTTGTACTCTGTACAATACAAGGATGCAGTTACATTCGAGGATCCTGCGGAGATCTCCACCACTGCTTAATATGAAGTGAATGGTGGCTAGAGAGATCGGGTCCCTGAACGATTTGAAAGCGGTGGCATAGACATTTGCGGCACCGAAGGGTTATCCGTTATCCGATCGAATGACGAGCCATAGACGGAAAAAATACCAAGTAGAAAGGTATTCTGCAAGACAGGGTCAACTGGTAGGCAATTTGTAAGGTATACCGAGGTTGACACACGAAAATCGAGTATTTTTCCAAGTGCACAATACATCTACACCTTATCACTGATATCCGAGGCACATAACCTTTGCGTGAAACGAAAAAGCTTAGCCGTCTGCCGGGTGTATACTAGGTATATTATTCTGCATGCATGATTGCCGGCTCAGTGCTTGAACGAACCTTGGGCCAATTGCTGTGATCATGATGCAGACCATGCAAGTTCGAGCCAACCAGGTCCAGCTCCAAGTCCAGCTTCCATCATCAGGATAGAGGGATACAACCTGTCTATGAGAATCTCGTACGCCAATGTAAGAGGTTGTACTCGAGGTAGGGGCGGAGAACTAGCGTAACAGTACATAATCCCGATGCGTGCACAGTATTGCATCATAAGTTACATGTCACTCAATGGAAGAAAGTAGGAAATTCAATAATTTATCATGTATCGGGCCTTTGCGTTGCAAAAGGAAGACTATGAAGTACGTGGATGTCTGCCTGATACTCAACTTGGCGCGCAATACGCATGTGTATCATTATATTCAACTCGAGCGGCATAAGAACCGGATGAGGATGACGCCTCTTCTCAATGTCTTCGCAGGTATTCCACCACTCATAAGTATCCCCCACAAGCCTCTCATAGATCTGCGCAATCGCCGTGTAAAGTCAGAAGTATCGTAGATCGTGATCAAGTGTTGCTTCATTATGCAAGTTCGCAAAGATTGAAATGTAGACGAGAGGGTTATTCCGCAACCTCAAAGGCTAACAGCCTAGGCAAACAGATTTGGAATCTGACGTCTTCAGTACACTCATCCACCGAATCAGCCGAAGCGACTCAGGTTTCATAAGGACCGATCATTCTGAGATTTGTCGATCGGATATTGACATCATAAATTACCTTGGTAGGTTGATGGCTCCATAGACGATCGAACTGCCTCAGCATGCAACCTTAAACCATTGCTGACGAGCAGTTCTGGTA